GCTCGGTGATTGAACATTGACCTATGAACCAGGAGGTCACGGTTTGATTCCCGGTCAGGGCACAGGCCTGGGTTGCGGGCTCGATCCCCAGTGGGGGGTGTGCAGGAGGCAGCCGATCAGTGATTCTCTCTCATCATGGATGTTTCTATCTCTCCTCCCTTCCTTTCTGAAATCAATAAAAAAATATATATTTAAAAAAAACCCACTAGAAATGCTTACAAAGAGAGAGAAAAGAGGGACAATAGGAAACTGGTGTGTAAGACACCACAGAGCTTCCTGAGTGTGATGAGAATTATGGTCCTTCCCCGGAGTCATGGCTGGCCCCCGCCACGCGCACATCCAGTTAGAGGTGGACACGCTGCGACCACTGGGCGGGGGGACTCCATGGCGCAGAGCAGTGCCTTTCGAATTTCTTTCTTTCTTTTTTAATACCACCCAACAGAAGAAAAACGTTTATGCTGTGACCTCATTTGTACACACACACACAATGAAGTTTCATGGCTGATCCCGCACCCCCGCACACGTGGCGGCACTTTCTTGTACTTGATGTCATGAAGGAAAGCATTACTCGTGACCCACGGCACCAAGTTCACGATCCAGTGGCCCAGTGGACAGAGCGTCAGCCTGCAGACAGAAGGGTCCCGGGTTCGATTCCAGTCAAGGGCACGGACCTTGATTACAGGTTCCGCCCTGGTCCGGGGCCCTGGTCGGGGCACATGCAGGAGGCAACCCACCAATGTGTTTCTCTCACATTGATGTTTCTCTTTCCCTTTCTCTTCCTTCCACTCTCTCTAAAATCAGTGGGAAAACATCCTCGGGTGAGGATTAACAAAAAGAAAGCGCTGGTCCGAGTAACTGCTGCTTCCCTGGAATAAGTTAGGAAACCCCCTGAATTGTAGACATTCTGATCTTATTTTACCAAAAAACACAACGTCTTTTTACTCCATCGCCACACTGTTGAAGGGACTGGATTCTGTGGGACCTACTGACGGGAATCTCATGCCGGGCTCACGGGAACCCGTACCTTTATGTTGGAAAACCACAGGTCATTCTCATGTAAGGTGGCCAGGTAGACGGACGTCAGGAGTCCAGCACAGAGGGCGACGGCTCCACCGACTGTAAATGACAGAATCTTCCATAATCTTCTACTGGTATGACGTTCTGGAAAAGTCAAACCGATAAAGAACTAAGTCGGTAAAGAATGGCACAGTCCACCCTGGCCAGTTCGGATCCGTGGACAGAGCGGCGGCCTGCGGACTGAAGGGTCCCGGTTCGATTCCGGTCAAGGGCACAGGCCTGGGTTGCGGGCTCGATCCCCAGTGGGGGGCGTGCAGGAGGCAGCCGATCAGTGATTCTCTCTCATCATTGATGTTTCTCTCTCTCCCTCTCCCATCCTCTCTGAAATAAAAATGTTAAAAAAATAAAGAATTGCACAGTCTGTCTCAGACCCTCAGGTGTGCTCACTTATTCATCAGACTGAAATGTGGGGGTGTCAGGACAAGTGGGAGTGACCGAAGGCCACGTGCGGCACCCACCGGAGGGCAGCTTAGGTTCCGGCGCCCCGTCCTCCTGCTGGGCTGCGTCGTCCCCCGACGGGTCTGCGGCTCGGACTCCTTTCCTCTGCCTGATGGACATCATGGTGTCAACGGCGCCCACGCATGGCTCGTCCCAGGCTCCTGCAGACGCACCTGCGGGGAGCAGAGTGAATGGCCCGCAGCCAGCACCGTCCCCCCGGCTTAGGTGACCTTCCTGGGCGCTTCCCGGTCTCACCTTCGCAGCTCCACCCCCAGCAAGGCTCCTGGAACCCGGGACGGAATCCCACCCGAGAACCTACGGAACTTACGGAACCCCACCCGAGAACCTACGGAACCTACGGAACCCCGCACAGAACCCCAGCCGAGAACCAAGAGCAGCGCGCGTGGAGGCACCGGCGGGAGGCCGCGGAGACCCATGCGGCCCCGCCCTGCACCGACCCCGCAGCTGCCCGCCCGCCCCCTGGGGCCCAGCGGCGAGCCCGGCGGGGAGAGCCTGGGCCGGGCGGGGTGTCCGTGCGGGGTCGGTGCCGGCCTCGGCCTCCCTTCCGCCCCGAGCGCTGCCCATCGGGCTCGGAGTGGACGCTCCACTAGTGACCTGCCCGCGGGAGCGGACCCGGCGTGGAGCTTCGGGCGGGTTAGGGCCCCTGAGGGCACCGCCTGCTCCCGAGCAAGAGCCCCCGCCCACCGGCCCGCCCGCTCCTTCGCTCCTTCGTCCATCCACTCGCTCCTTCCTTCACTCGTTCGTTCACACGTCCATCCACGCGCTCAGTCCTCCGTCCACTCATCCATTCATTCATTCACTCACGTGCTCACGCATTCATTCATTCACTCACGCATCCACTCGCTCATTCATTCATTCGCTCCTTCGTTCACACGGACCCACGCGCCCCCGGCGCACGCGGGACGAGCCCGGAGGTCCCTGCAGGCGCGGAGGCTGTCGGAGCCCACGCAGCCACCCCGGCGCCACGACAGCAGGACACACGCCGTGGGCCGCGACGCCAGCTCCCGTTCGCGGAGGCCCGCACGCTCGCGGAGGGACGGACCTGCGCTCAGCGTCCTCGAGCCGCTCGGGCGGGCAGGGCTGGCGGGCGGGACGCCGAGGGCGGGGGCGGCGATGCCCGAGCCGAGGAGCGGCGCGCGCCGCTAGGAAATAGGGCCTCAGGCGTCAGCGGCCCGGGAAGGGGCGCGCCAGGGAGGCCGGACATCCCGGGCCGCTGCGGCCGCGCCCATAGGTTGCCGGCGCCGTCCGTCAGCGTGGCCCCGCCCCTCATCGTGGCCCCGCCCCTCCCCGTGTGGCGCCGGCCGGAAGGAAGCGATGCATTTCCGGTGGGTCGGCACCCAAGCCGCGCCGCCGGAAAGAGAGCAGCACACTTCCGGTCATCGCCCCGGCGGGACCGCATTTCAGTTGTGCAGGCAGCACCGAGCCGGTGGGCAGCGGCTTGCACGGTGGTGGTGAGGAACGCGAGACGGTCCTGTTCACGGCATTGTTTGCATTTTTATTATTTTTGATCCGCACCCCAGGGTACTTTCCCATTGGTTTTGAGAGAGTGGAAGAGGGAGGCAAGACAGAAACATGGATGTGAAACGGCGACTGGGTGCCTCCTGCAGGCGCCGGAGCAGGGCCTGGGCCGGGGAGGAGCCTGCAACCGAGGTGCGTGCCCTTGACCGGAACCAAACCGGGATCTTGGGTCTGAAGGCTGATGCCCTATCCACTAAGCCGAACCGGCCAGGACGCATTACTTAGTGTTTAATTGTGCGGTTGTTTTAAACGAGTTGCTTTGATTTTCCGTAGCAGCGATGATGAGCAGTGAGCTATGAATATGGAGGAGGCCTCTAGGAGACCAGGAGCACTTTATGAAAATTACCGCGGGAGGAGGAATAGTTTAGTCCTGAAGCGGTGCTATAAAAAGCTTTCTTCTCGCCCTAGCTCGTGTGGCTCAGTGGATAGAGCCTCGGTCTGCAGACTGAAGGGTCCTGGGTTCGATTGCGGTCAAGGGCACGCGCCTGGGTTTCGGGCTTGATCCCCAGTGTGGGGCGTGCAGGAGGCAGCTGATCAATGATTCATGTTTCTTTCCCTCTCCCTTCCACTCGGAAATCAATAAAAACATATTAAAAAAAAAAAAAAGCTTTCCTCTCTGGGAGCTTTAAAGCACAGAGCATACTTTCCCTTGTGGGCCGTCCCATCTCTCACAACTCCTGGATGCTGCTGCTCTCACTGAAGAATAGCCACAGTCAACATGTAAGCTGGGGCGTGGCTGCGTTCCAAGGACATGTTACCTGCAGACGTGGCGTAGGGCCAGGTTTGACACGGCTGTCAGGTCATCCGTCTCTGTACAGGTGTCCACCAGCAACTCAAGGTGAGCCAGGTGTGCAAGATTTTCTAGTCGTCACGTTAAAAAGATAAAAACGGGTGAAGTAAGTTTTAATGACATATTTAATCCAAAATGTCATCATTTCAACATGTAACCAATATAAAAAAGCTATTGAGATACCGCCCAATTTTTTGTACTGAGTCTCTGAAACCGTGTCTTGCACACATAGGGCACACCAGTTGCATCTCGGTGCTCAATGGCCATGCGTCTGATGGCTCCCACACTGCACCCTCCATGCTGGGCTTTCTACAGTGAATCTGGAGCTCGGTGCAGAGTGGAGTTTGGTTCTGGGAAGAGAGGGGACATAGCTGTGGCCCCTACGGAGCCAGGATGAGGGTCACAGCTATTGTGAGGGAACGTTTGGCCTCAGACGTGTTAACACATTGCAGACGGATCATGAGAATTCTCGCTTCATATTACAGTGTTTGTAAAAACAAAAGTATCATACTTTAAAAAGATATTGCTTGTAAGAACATGTAATAAATAACAATGGGTTATTCAAAATGCAACCGGTATTTAATTTTAAAGCATGCCTTTAACGTTTATGTAAAGCATTTTTTGTACTTGTTCAGTAGAAACTTATCTGGCCACTGGGTAAAGCTAGCAATAAAGCTACTGGTCCACAGTGTGTCAAGAGAACGCGGCCCAGGATACTCGGGCACAAATGGACAACCAGACCAACGACAGTCAGATGACGTTCGCTTCACGGCCCAACGCTGCAAATCTAATGTGCGGAAACATTTGGTGTGGCCCACACAATGGCCGGGGTGGCACAGACACAGTCTTTGGCCTTCCATCAGGAATGTAACTGTCATGCACAGAGCTAGTCTGTAACTCTGCACAAGAATGTAAAGCATGTGAGGACGGGAAGACAGAACGAACGTGTAGCGAGGAAAAGGCTTCCAAGTTGGCTGAATTCTCACCATCGTTTGGTGCTAGTCGGCATTAGTTGGACAAGTTACCAGAGGGAGGTCCTAAGCCTTAGCTGACTCCTTGGGAAGTCATTACCTAAACCTAACTTTCTAAGCGATCACATCAGTGTCTCCAAGGTAAGTACGGACATAATCTTTTGCTAATAAAGCCTCGAGGCAAGTGTTTTTAACAAAAAGTTTATTACCAAAATACAATATTAAAGTCAATACATGACAAATTTCTATAAAGCAAAATAAATTATTCTAACATTGTACAGTATTCCCGAAGGCAGCTGGCGCACGGCAGCCCTGCCTCACTGGTGAGCGGGCAAGCTGTTCTGCCGTGAACACAACCCTGGAGTTTCGGGCATTAAGGCATGCAGCTCGCTGTGCAGGATAATTTCACAAAATGCAAACCATCCCATTTTACACATTGTCAGGATGAACTGTAGTCTTCCCATGTCAGTGTTCCAGAAATGTTCAGACTTTGGCTATAGAAGCAATGCTATAGTGTTACACAATACTCATTTCTTAAAAAAATACATGTATTCATGTCCTTGAATAGCAAACTCAAATTTCTATTAAATATATTTTATAGAATATGACTTAGAGCACCTTGCTGTACAATAAAAAAAGGTTAAATAAGTGACTATGAAAACTGAAAATATACCGAGTCTCACCAGGGGAGTCTGCTCGTCTCTGCCAAGCCTCGTACACTGCAGGAGATGCAATGTAAACGTGGATGCCCTCCCCTGCTCTGTGAGGAAAGAGAAATGACACCCGGCCACAGAGAGCCCCCTCGAACAGGATGCAAGACCTGGGCAAAGGCTGTACAAGTGTCACTACCATGTGGTGCCTCCCGATCGCGGAGTGTTGGCACTTCGGAGCCCGGCCAGTGTGTTCTGGATTATTAGAGGAAGGGAAAACAGTGGAGCCCTGAAAAGTGTTACTTATAATGGGCACATGCATCACCTTCCCCTCCCCACCATTGCCTTATTCAGTAAGTTTATCTGAAAAACTATTTTCACTATCAACTCTTAGAATTATCAAGTGTTCAGAGTGGAGAACAAAAGGTCTTGTATGGCAACAGGTCAGAGCCAGTAAATAAGATGTTACTCCTAGAAAGGGGACTCCTTCTGGTTACTTGAATGCCTGTCTCTTCCTCTATTACCACGGCGTGTTTAGTCTTTAGAAACACTCCACTGTCTCTGGGAGGGTATTTAAGGCTGGCCACAAACCGGTAAGGAGAATGCCTTGGGTATGTGGTTCCCCCTACAGGCCAGGAGAGAGCTTCTGAGGATTGTCTAGGCCAGATGAACATTAGAAGACTGAACTTCTGGGCTAGTTTTTATCCCATGAGCTAGGGATACTTTAAATCCATGATTTCAAATGAAAAATTTAAGTAACAATCAATGGAAGTGGTTTAAAGAAATGAAGAAAGATAATTTAAAAATTCACTGTTGAAATTGTTGGGATTTTTTTGGTTATTCGTATTTTCCAAATGATTACACAAAATTAAAGCCAAGGAAAATTTATAAAACAAAATTCTTCCAAGGTTGTTAATTTTCACAATCAGAGATTTTTGTAAAGAAATAGTGGGTCATAGCTACAAGCAATGGAGGAGTTGACTGAGGGGTAACATAAGTGATAATAATGGAACTATTTAAAATATTTTATTTGAATTTGAAATGAAATGAAATTCTGAAAACAGGAGGAAATGACTATAGATCCACATGCAGTGGACCTGGGGAACAGAATTTACGGTAAGTAAATTTGTTTTACCTTTGTCAGATCCACACATCAGGAATGGAGGAACTTTCATAAGTAACTTACAGCTTCCATCCATCCTGTGTGTTAAGTCATCAGGAAAATGAAATGATGCCTGGCCCCACTGAAATAGTTCCTAATGCTACTCAGAAATGTTAACTCGTTCAGGTCACACCTGGACTTCGGGAAGAGCATTCTTCCCTAAAACATGAGTATCACATTCCAAACCTGTCCTCCGTTTCCCGCTGACCGGCGCCGGGCAGGAGCCGTGGAGGAAGAGCACCAGAGGTGGCCCGCACGCACCGCCTCCAGCTACGGGCACAGCTTACTTCACCAAACAAGGCGCAAGCAAGTGATCAAACCCCCAACGCAAAACAGAACACCCGTCCTCTCGACTGGGAAACGCGTGGATACAAAACGTGTAACAAAGGAGAAGTCACATCTATTTGACGGCGTGTTCTAAAGCAAAAGCCCACAGGAGGAATTTCCTAGAAAGGAGAAACCCTGCAGACTTGCCAAATGTTATTTGTTATTAAGCTTTAGAAACAACCCGAATTTTCACATTTTAGCCACATGTGGTTAACATCTCTTATGTTAAGTGTAACTAAATCAATGAACTCCAGGAAAGAAAAACCTCAAAGCCCTCATTTTAAGGGATTCTTGATCTCACCCTTCTTCCCCCAAATGATTATTATTTAAGAGATCAAACTATTAAAAAAAGAGAGATCAAACTACTTCCAAGGTCTGATGATCAAGTGCAAATCTGTATACTTTGTTGTTTTAATAGTCTTCTTCCAGCCAAATGCTCGGACTGGTTCAGGAGAGGGGCAGACGGCTGTGTAACTGCCGAGACCCCGTGGTGACCCATCAGACCCGAACGGAACCTCTGGGGAGCACCTGCCCTGGGCTGAGACAGTGTTAGGAACCCCAAGGTCTGGCTGAGTCTAGTGCCCACAGGAAACCCTGTAAAATTAAGACAGTCATTTACTCCTTAAATGCCTATTTACAATCTAGGGGTAGATTCAGAGGTCTCCTTTCTTTCCTTTTTTTGAAGGATAAACGACGTTTCTGAGACTGAGTATCTGACATGTCCTCTCCATTGGGGAAGACTCAGGTAGAATGCTGGGAAGCCCTCCCTGCAGAGCCGCTGTCTCGCTGCAAAGGAAGAAAACCAAGCCCTGCTTGAGACTGTGTTGCTTTTATAGCAATCGTTTCAGGACAGTTCCTGAAAAACCCTTTCTTAGCTCTTCTGCTTGCATTTCTAGACCGCAATAAGCTTTTAGTAATAAATACGCTCAACACTAACAAGAGGTAACAGAGGGTCAATACAGGGTCACATCTTTGCTTCCTCCCAACCCATTTCCCCTCCCTCAGAATACTTAAATATTATTGCTGCTCATCCATGTGGAATTCCTCTGATTACATTACACATTTGGTTCCAAAGTCACCCCTGTCGGTCCCCCCTCCGGTGTCTCCGGGCGTCTGAGGTGAGACGCAGGCCCTCGGGTCTAGCTCGTGTTGAGAGCTGCGCTGGGCTCCTTGTTCAGGATGATGTTGACAATCTCGCCCTCGTGCTCCTTCATGTGATCCAACAGGTTTTCTTTGCTGGTAGATTCGAAACCACAGATACAGCAGCAGAAGAGTAAGACGCAGTACTCCATCCCCGGGGGGGCCGCCCCGGGGTTCTTGTCTAAGCGACACGAGGAGTTACTTGCAGGGCTCAGTTTCTCTCGCTCGGTGGGAGCCTGGGGAGCCGGCTCCGAGGACGACACCACAGTGTCCACCCCCCCAGTGGGAGGGTCAGCTCCGTCTTCACTGCCGTTTAACAGAGTCTTTCCAGGGGACTTCCCTAGAACCCTTAAAGTCAAACAAAGCACCAAACTGTGAGTGGGTTAGAAGGCAGGGCTGGAACTTACACGTGACAGCGCAGCCGCGTGGGGTCTGTACCTGCCGCTCTGGGAGATGGCGTCATTGATGGCCTTGTTCACCTGCTCGTAGTTGTAGTTGCGGTCGCTGGCATGCTTCCACATGTGCGACTTCAGGGAAGGCGGGTGGCTGCACACGTACCCGCACAGAGAGCACCTGCAGCGGGAGGGAGCCAGGTCTGTAGAGGGAGCCCCACCAAAGGATGAAAGCAGGGCCCTGTCAGGCACCTTCTGTCAGGTTTCACTGAGATGTCACACAGACCTCCCCACACCGACCCGTGCTGCACCCAGGACCCCAGGGGAGAGCTGGCCCATGGAACAAGTTTCCCTCGGGGTGCGAGTGCGGGCCCAGACCCGGCCCCCTGTCCTGCCGGCCCCCTGGGGTGGGAACCGGGTTCCTCCGGCTGCTGGCGGAACAAGCTGACTATGAAAGCAGCGGTTTATGCTCAAGAGGCCAAGTTCACTTAGGAGTAAAGACTTCTATCTATCAGCGCATCTCCATCAATTGAGAATCCTGCTATTTCCTGAAAACTAGTAGAATTAGCCTCTATGGAAAATCAAGTAATAAAGTTAAATGATCTTGTTCTGCACGTGATACATTTCCAGAAACAGGACCTTTCATAGGGAATTTTACTGCTTTTAAGCGTTAGGACTCTTGCTGGAATACTCAGGGCCCGAATGACTGAAAACTGCTGTGACAATCTATGAAACTGGAACCCGGAACTGACAGCCACGGGCATCATCCCTCATTCCAACCAGACACAGGCCTGTGGGCCGGACTCCAGCTTAGAACTCATAGTCTTTAACAACTAAACACCACTTGTGAAAGCGCCTTCGCATTTAACCTGTGTTCAAACAAGTGCGTGAGTGTTTAATAACTTCCGCTTTGTCCTTCATGATAAAGTGCTGCAGCACAAGCATTAGAACCAGGGTCGGCACACTCACCTGTACGGCTTGTCCGAGTTGTGGGTCCGTCTGTGGTTTCTGACACCAACGTATGTTGTACTTGTGTAATCACACACGTCGCATCTGTACTGTTTCTGGACTGAAGACTTATTCTCTGGACAAGGCATTTCAGAGTTTTAGTGACAGGCTTTCATTAGATTCAAATGGCTGCACTTACATCCCACCGTCAATGAGCATTTACACCAGCAGTGCTAATACCTCCATCCACGCTCTCGAGATCAAGTTAACAAGCCAGAAATGGCTCACAGGTCACCTGGACCTGGACCACCGCAGACTGGGAGACCTAGGTACACTGGTTGGTCTTTCATAACCTGCACAAAATCTAAAAGAATGGACTTGATGCCAGTGCCCGCTGACTACTAGCAGCTGAGTTAACCACAGACACACAGTTAATGTGAAAGGTATTGGTCTAATCAACGTGGGCACACTGTCTCAGGGAAACAACGATTTGCCAACAAGCTAGAATTTAGCATCAGAATCCAATAATCCAAAGTGTGGCCACGAAGTCCCCGTAACAGACGGATACCACAGCCCAGTGCTTTCTCAGTCTGTGGGTTTCCTGTTTATGACTGTCAGCTGCCAATGCACCAACCAGCAAAAGCAGCTGTCCGCTGGTACACACCACGCAACGCTGTGCAGTGACCTCCATCCTGGTATAAATCTATTACATTAACAGACACACTAATCATGATTATACTCTAAGTACTACTCTTACTGGGTAGGTAACAATTCGGACTTGGTTGTAAAGGGCACTGTTCCAAACACAGTTTAAAAACATCCCTGGAAAACAAAGCATGGGTGTCGGGTCATGGTTCTGTGTGCGCAGCACTGCAGGTCAATCACAACGAATAAAAACACCACGAAAAGCTGCTGCACACGGGAGAGGCTGTGCTGCCTTGCTCGGCCTTTTCCAAGGAGAAGGCCCTGGGTTTCAACTCAAGACCTTGGGCCTCATCTTTGCTGCCAGCACCGTGTGATCACAGGCAAATTATTTCCCCTCTGGGGGCTGGGCTTTCTTATCTACAAAACGGAGTAAGCGGAGGGTTCCAGTGCGGCCAGCACGCCAGGGGCACTGTGTTCTTCCTCGCCGCACCCGTACGTTCCTGTGACGTCTCTGCCATGTCCTAGCTGCTAACTCCTTGCGGGCAGGAACCTGCCTGCTGTGTTTACAGCGACTCCCCAGGGCTTGACAAATTGCAGGTTTGCAACAAAGAACAGTTTACTTAAATCTCACAAGGAAGCACACCTGGAGGTGCTCTGCCCGCGGCTCTGTTGGAGCACCATCTGTCTTGGTCACTGGTCTCCGCAGTGGTGCTGCCGCCTTTACCGTCCTCCCGGCACCAGGGCCAGCTCAGGACGGTCCTGACTTGGGCAGAACACACGTCCCAGTTACTGTGGCCCTGCGCCTCTGAGCTGGAACGTGCCTGAGGTGCCCGTGCCGTCCTCATGGGCAGAGACGGACCTCAGGGCACACGCCTCCTCCTTCTTTAATGAGACCACGAAACGGTTCAGGGTTCAGGGACGCCAATGGCTAATTCTTCCCTTCTCTGCGAGCTAGGAACTTGTTCTTTGGTTTGACTACCAGATTTTGAAAGCTCAACGCTGAATGAATAAAGCGCCCAAGAGGTCATCTGTCATCTCAACTGTCACTCTCTGGTGACAGAGACGGGCGAGTGGGCCGGGAGGGGAAGGCATGGCCTGCATGTGAAAGCCACACTCGACCCCCAGGCGGCTACAAGAGGGACTGTGGCAGAGACACTAGGTACAGCTCGCCACACAATAATGAACTGGTTACTTTAATTTTGAACTCACGTGTTAATCTTTCCATTAAAATAGTGATTTTAATTTGTTAATGGCCCCTTTGGACCGTTAGATGACTGCTTTAAAGGACACATTCTGGCCCTGTGCTCACCGCAGGCGGTGCCACTGAGCAGGACTTCCTTTGCCCGCCATCAGGGATTCACGGTCCAAAGCTACCAAATGCTTTAAGGCTCCTTCACAGGGACGAGGAGCACAATGTGCAGAGAGGAGCACTCAGGCTATTCCGCAGAAAGGAAGCAAACTGTTTAGCTCAGCCATCTCTGCAAAGGCAGATGCTCTGTCATAAACTCCTTTTGTCTGGGAGACGTTTGCAGGGGTGACAGCTGCTTGACAGGGGATGCGGGTGTCAGCACAGTTCTCTCAGAAACATTCCCGCGTCGGTTATGCTTGCTGGGGTATAATGTGATGAACATTACAGGAAAACATTTCACTCTGCAACTGTTTCTAACTTTAATTCTTAGGAAATCTGAAAAGGAAAGTCACCCCAATATGTTTTATTTCCCATAAACACGATGCACCACACTCAAGACACTTGGAGCTTATCAATTTAAGTGAGCTGACGCAGGGAAGCGCAGCTCAGCACCGTTAGCCCAGATTCTCCGGATGTGGCACCCGCCTTTTCATGGGACTCGAGTGAAATCTTTTGATTCTAATATTCCTATTAGCCGAGACTTGACTGAGTGGTACCTAACTCGTACATAAAAAGATCTGGTGCCGTGTTTTAAAGAGAGTGCAGATGACATCTGGCAGCAACCTTGGTTACGATAAGATCACAGCAGGGGCCTCAGTTAGAGTGGGGGGGGGGGCCTGCCATCTGTGAGCTGTTCTCGCGGGTCAGCTGAGCTGGGGGAGGGGTAGGCTGCTGCTTCGATGCAGCTTCCCTGGTGCAGGCCTGGCACCTAAGTTTCATGCTGCCTTTGGCTCTTACAGGACAGCAGAAATGTCAGTGTCAGATCTCCCTACAAGGTGAGCTGAGGACTTACTCACAGTACTTCGTTCAGGACTCAAGAGTGTCCCCAGGAGGAGACCAGAACCCACAGTGCAAAAGAGAGGACAGATGCAGCTTTACTCCTGAAACCCCCCACCTGACAGACTGCTCAGGGCGCTTCTCACCTGGGATGCGAGTCGTGCAGCCTGTGTGGGAACGCACACCTACCTTCCTGGGCACACTTCGCCTCAGCGCTGTCCCTGGGAATCCTGGGCTCAGCAGAAGCCACGACTGACAGGGGATCTGGAAGGCTGTGTTGCTCCCTCTCATGGCTCCTCAGCTGACTCTGGACACGAGAGAAATGAACAGCAATTCCTAATGAACTCACTGCAGTTACAGGAGCCTGTGCTTCCGTGGCCTGGAGCCTAGAACCCAATACCAACGCTTCAGAAGAAAATGGGCCTCAGCACTATCCCAGCCTTTGGAGGTTTATGGGAAGAACTGCCCGGGGGAGCAGCAGGAAGGCAGGTCCTGGCGTGGTGTGTGCACACTCAGCACCATGGACAGGCCCAGGGAGGGGGCCAGAGGGCTCCCAGAGTCAGCGCTTTCACAGAAAGAAATCCCATCAGCCACTGAGGCCTCCTCCACTGCCTCCCAGGAATCAAGAGCATAGTCGCTGCAGGCACCCCTGGGATAGGCCTGGCCCCACCCAAATGGCCCCCCTGTCCAGTGGCCAAGGCCATTCCAGATCCCAGGAGGCCATCTGAGTGGAGCCAAGTCTCACTCCCAGGCCCTTCCTTCCTGAACCCTCTCATTGCCAGCCGACCCTGGGTCGCCTGAAAGGCCACGTCCCATTTCCCAGTGGGCCCTTTAGGACAGCAAAAAATAGTTCCCCCACCTATCAACTGGCATCTTGAAGAAGAAAGTTCTAAATCACGGACCCAAAGAATGCAAGTTTCATTTACAGAAACAGCATTTCATGCTGGTTGGTGGTTTCGAGGTCGCACATAAGGTGAAAGTCACATAGTCAAAGCGACCTTGAAAGTCCCTTAAACTGCCCTTACAGCTAACACGTGGCTCTCTGTCCACGGCACTGTCCCTCATCCAGCCCATTCTTCCTTCTGCAATGAAATGAGTCACTGTGGGCTGGCTGCGCAGCCCTTGGCGTGAACAACTTGCATTTCAGGGCCGTGCGTTGCTGATGTGGGTTATATCTGTGCATCCATGTGTATGTATGCTGTCCCCCGTGTTACATCTGTGCATTCATGTAACACCCCCCTGCACTGTAAAAGCCACACATTCTGAAGAGACTCTAAAACACTATCTAAGGCCAGAGATTGCCAGGGAGAGTCCCACCCCAGGAGTCCCGATGACCCAGATTTCAGTCCCCATCGTCTGGGCCAGCTATCAAACCTTCCTGGGTGTGTTTCCCGATAGACTGATTGTGGGAGGACTGCACCCACCAGGCCTGTCCCTGCTCTGAGTTGGGGTTCCTGGGAGCACTGGGCCGCGCACCTTATAGGGGAAGGCCTCGGCGCAGCGCTTGCACTGGTACAGCCGGGCCTTGCAGTGGTGGACCATGTGGCTCTCCAGCTCCTTGCTGCTGTCGGCCACGTGCTCACAGATGGGACACTGGTAGGGCTGCCTCTGCCGGTGGACCCGCAAGTGCTGCTTGATGTAGCCCTTGTTCCCGCTCGCGTAGTGGCAGAGGCGGCAGCGATAGGGCCGCTCGGCATTGGGGATGTACTCCACCAAGCCGCCGCCTGACAGCCCGGCCTCGCCGCTGGGCTGGCACTGGGCGTTGTCCTGCAGCTCCTTCAGGATGTCCTCATCTGAGGCGTTCTGGTCCGTCCTTTCCCGCAGCTTCTCAATGACAGTGAGCAAGGACACGCTGATGCCCGTCTTCACCTGCCCGTCGGACAGCTCCTGCCTGCCCTCTGGGAGTGCCACCAAGGGGCAGCTGCTTTGGTTAAAACTCGTTAGTCCATTTGAAGCGTTTTTAAGTGGTGACATCATTTTAGAATAGGCCGCCAAGGTGCTATCCACCTGTCTCTGCCCGGTGTCTGGGTCTAAGAGGTTGACGTTCCCGTAGTGCCCGAGGTTGGCTCTCGTGAGCTCGGCGGCTCTGATGGGCATTGTGACCAGGGCTTCTGCCGCCAGCGAGTGCAGCCTAAGGGACTCGGAATTCGTCCTCCTTCGGCCCGGGGGGGCGTTCTCATCAGGGGCCAGTCCCTGATGGATCAGCTCGCTCTCCTTCTTCTCTGTGTTGCTCCAGCCTATGATCAGCCCCCCGATGTCGACGGTACACTGATTGGCACGATAGGCCTCCTCTCTCCCCTCACAGCCTGTCGGGGGCCCTGGAGGGGCCGGGAGGCCCCCCTCCTCCAGCGCAGCATTCACGAGGAAAGGCTTCTGTGACCCGGTCTCCTCGGCGCTGGGCAGACGCTCCACGATCACGTTCACGTGCCCTTTCTTGTTGGGGCTGCTGCTGATGATCTTCTGTGCCGACGAGAGGAGGCTGTCGGCCATCAGACTCTCCTCCGCGTCCGAGATCACCTCCAACATGTCCTCCTCGTGGGGCTCAAGGGCCCCCGACCGGCCGAGACCCGCGTCTCGCTCCGCACCCGGCAGGGCCGACGCCGAGGACAGAGGCTCTGAGCTGCAGATCTGCACCTGGACCGCCGGCCCGTTGTGGATGCTCAGCTCGTTCTCTCCGATGGCGATGACCACGGCATCGACCCCGCCTGGTGCAGCCGCCACGGAGGAGCCCAGCAAGCCCAGGGGCTCGTTCTCATTTTCAAAAATCGGGTAGGAGCAGTCCACCTCCCCGGCATGCTTCCAAGCATGTGTCTTCAACATTCGCTGCTGCCCGCACGTGTAGCTACAAAATAAGCACCGGTACATGCCGTACTGTTCGTAGGCGTACCACTTCCTCCTCCCCCTGTCCTTCTCGGAGGCTGAGGCGGCGGGGATGACCTGCGTCTGTGGACTGCGCACGCTAACGGAGAGGTCGGGAGTGCCTTCGCGCTTCCGCTCTGTGGGCCTCAGACACACGGAGCTGGAGGGGCTCACGCTCGGTTCGGCTCTGGGTGGCGTGGGGCCGCTGGCATAGTTTTCGTGGTCATTCACCACGTGGGCTTCGAGCTCCTCTTGGCTTCTGGATGTGACGTGGCACTCGGAGCACATCAGAATCACCTCATTCTGCGGGCCGTGCTGCTTGATGTGGTCCCTGAGCACAGAGAAAGATGAGGACAGGAACTTGCAGAGGCTGCACTGGTAAGACATCGCCTTCCCATCGTTCTGGGCGAGAGGGTCCGGGCTGAAAGGGATTGGCGTCGGCTCGGCCCTTCTGATGTCAGCAACAGCGGGCGGGGCTCCTTTCGCTGGAATCTCACCGAGCTCCTGGGCTTCGGGAGAGCTCGTCCCAGCACTTGAACGTGAGCGCTTCTTCCCAATTAAAAGACATTTTTGTGACTTTTCATGTTCCACTATCTTGCTCAACTTCTGGATAACATGGATTAATGGATCTGTTTTAGCTGAACTTTGTCCATCAATTTCCAGTGAAGAACTGATGACAGTGTCGGCCGTCAATAGAGCTTCCTGTTCCCCAATGTCTGGCACCAACATGGCGACGCTGCTGCTCACCTCCATACCTAGAAAGGGGGACAGACCACAGAGACGCCAGGTTACAACTGGTGGAGCGCACACAGCCATTCCCAGGCAGAACCACCTTAAGTCACTATGAAATACCATCCCTCGAGCCGATACATGACTGAGGCAACTTCTTACACCAAATGTAATTGTAGTTTTTCTTCTCTGCAAGCCTTGGGAATTGTGAACATATAGTAATTAACTCACCGGGAAGGGCACAGGGAGCTCTGAGACGTACTCTGCAATGAAACTAAAGACAATAATCCAGTTCCTCCTTTTACTTCCTTCATCTTCCCGAAGAGAAACCACAAACTGCGCTGTGGGCTCTCCAGAGGTCATATTAGTGGTCAGCTATCACTTACACATGTTACTTTTCTTTCCCCCCCGAAAGGAAAGGGCCATCGAAGACGGAAACAATTGACATCCTAGTTATCCACACACCCATGTGTCCCTAGAAAGTGATACGTTTGGCCAAGGGAGTCACTCAATGGAAAATGCAATCTTGTTCAGCCTAATCTTCACCAGTTTCCTGACAGCACGTACGTTCATTTCAAACACTCCCTCTGCTTAAAGTGAGATTATCTGTTGACTTGGATCTGTTTTTTAGGTTTAGGCTTTTTTTTAGGTGCATTTTGGAACCTCACAACATTCAATAAACTCCAGCAAAAGTTTTAGTGGCCCTAGCTGTAGACCAAAGACCATGCTATTTCTTAACCCCCCGTCACAGGCTCTGACTCTCATTTCAGGAGTTGAATCGTGGCCCCTGCTAGGACTGTACCCAAACTCCCGCCAGACCCCACAGTGCTCAGACGGCTCAGCACGGTCTCCCCTACCCACTCCCAGCAGCCAGGGTGCTCCGTACTTCCTGCTCTCAGGCACACTAACTTTCTGTCTGGGCCCACATCAGGCAGAAGTGCAAACTTTTACCCCTGGCTTCTCTAGTGCCCTTCTCCCCCACCACCTTCCCGACCGACCACACTCACACCGGGATGCGCTCCAGCCGTGACCACAAGATGACCACCCAGCAATCCGGGGCCTGTGGCCCTACAGCCACTCTCTCCTGAACAACCTGAGGATATTACCTCCCAAAAGACGACAGATGCTCCTTGACCGACTAGTCAAAAAGCACCCTCCACACTATTCTGTGGAGTCTGGGTTGTTGACCTTCGAGACCGTGACTGGCCGGGGCTGCCACTGCCCAGAATCAGAGAAAGATCAAAACTCAAAGCATGGTGTCTACCAAACATACAGCTTTTGCACCATCATGAAGTAGACAAATCCTGTCTGGGGACCATCTGTATTCCCTTACGAAGGTCTTTCTCAGGCAGAAAGAACAAGTGTCTTAAGCCTTTACACTCAACCTCAATCACTAAGAGGGACCAGTGACTGAGAGAACAATCTGTTTCTCTAGAAAAACCCTGTGTGACTTTCCAAGTCACTTTGCTGCCTGTGAATTCCACGTTTAGGTCAAGGGAGCTGCGGCTCCTCACCTGACTACGGATTCCCCTTCTGGGCCATTCTCAGGCTTTATTTCTTTCGTTCAGTTGTTAACTACAAACTAATGATAGGAACCCTGGAACACTCAATTTCTTGCACAGACTTGGGGCTCTACTGCAGACCTAAGGCCTCCTTCCCAGGAAACGTGACCTCAGCAAGCTGACTGATAACCTGGAGGCTAGCTCTGCATACCCACAGGCTACCCCTCTTCACTCCTGGACATGACAGGAGGGGGCAGAGCACGCCAACTGCTCCCTGTGCAATGAGGAGGAGGAGGAGTTATCTCACGTCAAGCAAAACACATTATGAAACAATCTGACAAGAGACTCACGTGGAAAGCCGTGTGCTCAGGGAAACCTGCAGCAGGTGCCATCTCCCTGGGCATTTACGTGTCTCACTGCAGAGGCTGCCCATGTCGGGAAATGGCATCTTTAAGACAGACTGGACAACATCAAATACACCGAGAAACACCTGAAAAACCAGTTTGGGGACACTTGCAAAAATCAAAGCAAAAGATAAGTCTCAGTAGAACAAAGTCTCTGCTAATCAGATTAGATAACAGCTTGTAATAAAGTCTACAGAGAGAGTCAAGTTGACCTTAAGGCCAACTCTAAATTTTCACAGAGTTCACTTAGGCCACCAATGTGCATAAGCATATGGGACTGCATGTCAAGTGAAGTAAAATTTATTTGAATAATAGCAACATGGACTGTGCTAATCTGCATACTATGCATGGTCTCCAAGAGGTCAATGTAAAAGCACCTACAGAAAACGTTACCCTGATGGGAGGCTGATGGGAGAGACTGGGGATTAAAGAAGATTAGCAGATTGTGTGACTGGAGTGATGAGCAAGGAGGGGCTCACTGTACTATTCTACTTGTGTAAGGCTTAAATTTTTAAAATAAAAAGTTATAGAAAACATTGTTATGCGAAAGGCACCAAGCAAAGTACCAGGAAGAATGAAAAACATTCAAATTAACAGTCCTCGCAGTTTAAAACTGAGTTGAGAGAATAAGACAAACCTGGTTAGAAATTTAAAAGAATTAACAGCTTTTAAACAATGCGACAGTACACAAGGTACAATCGTCAGAAACAGCCAATGACCAAAGCCTAACAGAGAGTGAAGTGCCCTTTCGGTCGAAGAGAGGTGAGATTTAACATTTATTGGGCACCGACAATGCGCCAGGCACGGTACAGGAGACCGTGAGGATGATGGGGGTGGGGGCGGGTCCTTGCCCTTGACAGAGTCTGTGCAGATTCTGTCTACCGCTCATGTAATTCCTGGTAATGTGAACCTTTTTCTTCCTTTTTAAATCTTTACTGTTGAAAGCACTAGATATGTCCCCCCCTTGACCTCTTCTATCCTGCCCCTGGTAATATTAACCTCTTTTTTGCAGACAAGGAATCTGAGACTCACAGACATAAAGTAACAAATGGCTTAAGAATTGGAATCCAAGGGTATATGAGTCTAAATCTATCCTTCCTCAACACACCCATTTCTTTTGGTTTCTCCGTGAGAACAAAGTGTGTAAGTAGTGACACTGAAAAGAAACAGGCTCTCCCTGCTAGTCTGTATCAACCTGTGAGCCGGCTGACCCTGGGCAGGGTCTAGTGATGCTGCCAATCAGGAAAGGGCAGTGCCTTCCGGTGACTGAAAGGTTCCGTGGCTGCTCGGCGGCAGCCCAGTGTCTTGTAGGTCAATTCCTGAAACGAGCAGCTCCTGGGTCCGTCCTCCAAACCCGGCTGCAGCCGAGAAGGACAGTGTGAGTGTCAAACACGTCTCCTCCTTCGAGAGGCAACGTAATGACGTGTCGGGCGGTGGAACCTTCCTCAATCTTCCACGGCAAAAAGAACCCGATTATGGGGCGCGCGTTTACAGAACTTACCGAACAAGGAGGGTTTCGGACTTGGTGTAAGTTATAACGAAAAGCCTCTGGGAACTTCTCCCGTGACTGTGAATTTTATGCTTTAGCTCCGAACTTATCGGACTCGAGATGCTATTGGTTTGCTGGTAACCACTTTCTAACGAGTAAGGAGCGATGATCGCATGCTGGTTTTTAAATCTTAACCGAAAACAACCTAATAGCGGTGATTCTGCAAACTTCACACACTTCCGCGGGCTGGGGGCCTCGCGGGGCCAGACGCAGTGTCCCACGGCCCGGACCCCAGCCCGCTCCCCGCTGCCGGCGGGTTCACCTTAAAGAACTTGCAAGTTCAAAGGGCGCGGATCCGTTTCACCTGGAGGCGACCTTCCGGCTGGGGTCACCGCCGGGGCAGGCAGCACCTGCTCCCCGCCGGGAGCGAGCGCTAACGAGGGACCGAGGAAACGGGCCGCGCGAGGAGCCGGGAGAACTAGAGAGAAAGGGCGCGGGAGGCCACAGCCCCGAGGCCGCCGGTAACCGGGACGCGGGCGGAGGGCAGAGCGCAGCCCGCCGGCACCGAGGCGGCTTCCGGCGCGGAGGCGGCCTGGCCCGCCTGTCACTCAGCCGCACGAGCCGCTGCCCGGCGCCCCCGGCGGGCCCTCTCCTCCCGGCCGGCGAGGCGGGAGCAGGGCGGCGGGGCTGCTGCGCGGGCTGTTCTGCACCCGCAGTGCTGACGGGCCGGCGGCGGGGGCGCGGTGCGGGGCAGCCGGGGGCCTCGTCGCGGGCGCACGGGGGCCGCAGGGGACGGCGGCGGGGCCCGCGGGAGGCGCACATGGCCGGCGGCGGCGCCCGCAGCGGCGAGGGGCGGCCTCGGGCGCAGTACCTGCGGTCGGGCGGCGGCTGCTGCTCCGCGGGCCTCTTGGGGCCGGCCGGGCGCCCCTGTGCCCTCGCCCTCGTCCTCTCCCGCCGCGTTCCCAGCTCAGCGCCTCCTTTCCCCCGCTTTTCCGCTCCTCACCGGAGATCCAAGATGGCGGCGCAGAGCCGGTCACGTGAGACGCGGGCCGTCAGGTGACCGAGGGCCGCGGCGAAGGGGCGGGGCGATCAGCAGGCCACGCCCACAGCAGCCCCGCGAACGCGAGCTGGGCGGGCGCGGGGAGGGCGGGGCGACGCGCAGGCCACGCCCCCAGGCTCTCGAGGGCGGGGCGGGCGGTGGGCTCCCAAGGCCACCGCGCTGTTTTCTGGGTCGTCGGGGCCGAGTCCGCGCGTCACCTGCGTCTGCTCACGTTGCAGCGTCTGTGCGCCAGGGCCTCGCTGCAGCCTCTGAGTTTGGTGCAGCTTTTGGCTGGGCTGCACCTTTAGTGGCTGATAAGCAGGGAGGTCCCGCTGGGGTCCCGCTCAGCGCCAGGCTGCGGGAGGTGGGCAGGGCCGGCGGGCACCCTGTGGAGGGCCTGAAGATTTCCCAGGGCTGTGGGCAGACCTGGCAGCTTCACCCGGTAACGGTAGCGCAGTCTCCGTCCGGCGTGGGCGGGGGGGGGGGGCAACCGTCCGTGGTGTCGTTGGGATCTGGTGCCTGAGAAACACGCAGGGACGCCAACAGCCCTGCTCGCACACGCAGCTCACCGTCACCCTGGGTGCTGGCGGTGTGGGTGCTGGAGGGTGTGGGTGCTGGAGGTGTGGGTGCTGGAGGGTGTGGGTGCTGGAGGGTGTGGGTGCTGGCAGTGTGGGTGCTGGAGGGTGTGGGTGCTGGCAGTGTGGGTGCCTTAGGAAGGAGCCCGCTGGGTGCTGGGTCTGGGTGCTGGGGCCGCAGTGGGAGACAGTGAAACTGAAGCCTTGGTCGCAGCCACGGGCTGAGACGCCCCTGGGGACTGGCAGCAGGCCGGGCTTTCATGGGGGAGGAGGGCCCGCAGGACTGAGAGTCCCTGTTCCGACAGTCGGTAGCTCCTGAGATAGGAACTCAGTGTTCACCTGAATTTGGGGCTTGGCAAGCCAGCAGTTAGAAACCTTATTTTTTAAAGAATATCTTGCTGATTGGACTAAATAAGAAAAAGGAAAAAGGAAGGGTTGGAGATATATCTGTTTTTCAAGAAAAGAGGCTGAGCAGGAGAGTAGCGTGGAAGGGTGGAAGGAAAAGAAGTGGAGGCGAACCAGGAATACCCAGAAGGGAGACCGTGAGCTCACACAGTCCGTGGGCAAGTGCCTCCCCGTCCCTTCGCTGCCACAACAATCCTAGTTAATAACACTCCAAAGAGAGGCTTTTCTGCAGGAATGTCCTCAAACCTGAAACTGGGCAGAACCGAAATCAGAGGTTTATTTGATTGGGGGGTGGTGGGGGGAGTGTAGAAACATAGCGGAGAAACCACAATCTAGGGAAAAGAAGGGAATTCTAAAACAATGAAGGGAGGCAAATGCATACTTGAAGTCCCTGTGTGCCCTCCGGTGTCCACCAGCTATTTCCAACCTCCCCGTCCAGCCCCAGGCTCGGAGGTGCGGCCTGTGGCTGGCGCTGGCTGTGAATGGCGGGTGGAAGTGAGGGGTGCCACGTCCATCCTGGAGCAGTTAGTGGCCAGTGCAGTTTCGTCCAGAGCACTCGTCCCCCGCTGGCTAGATGACCGGTAGTGTTTGCAGTGGTGGCCACCCTGGCACCCTGCGTTTTAGAGTGACACGAAGGCGCGGAGCCCCAGCCGACCCACGATGATGGATCTGCAGGGGGAGGAAGTCCTGAGGTTTTAGAGCTGTTTGTCACGCAGTGTGACAGCCGCCGCTGACTGACACGCCCCCCTCCCCCCCCCCCCCCGCCCCATTCACTGAAGCCTCTGGAAGAGGCAGAACTGATGGGACGAAACCATTCCCGGCAGACAGGAAGGTTAATGGAAGATCAGCACCTTCATTCCTGAAACAGAGATGGTATCAGATGCAGAGTCTAACAGAAAAAATCGAGGTAACTTTCAAAAGCCAGTACAGCCCGGCTGGCATGGCTCAGTGGTTGAGTGTTGACCTATGAACCAGGAGGTCACGGTTTGATTCCCAGTCAGGGCACAGGCCCGGGTTGCGGGCTCGATCCCCAGTGGGGGGCGTGCAGGAGGCAGCCGGTCCATGATTCTCTCTCATCATGGATGTTTCTACCTCTCTCTCCCTCTCCCTTCCTCTCTGAAATCAATAAAAAACGCTTAAAAAACAAAAAAAGGAGGAGTCTGATAATAATACATGGTGTTTCCTTGACAACTCAAACCAGAGCACGTTGACGTTTTGGGAGCCCCGAGGGCCGTGCAGGAAGTAAGATGAATGAGACGCCGGGCCAGGCGGAACTTGAGAACAGCTTGTCCCCAGGTACGACACTCAGGAAGGACTCCTTGCCTTTGGTGTGTAAGATGAGGTTAGATTTCGTTTGAGGGGATGACTCATGTAAGCCTCTGGCCTGGCACAGAAAATTGGAGGAGACAAGTTAGCCTGTATTTCTTT